CTCCCTGCGTGGGGGCTGGATGGAGGGGGCTCGCCGCGGCTCCCCCGCTGCCGGCAGGAGCAGGGAGCTGTGTGCAGGGGCTTGGCCGTGCCTGGAGGGCAGCACCCCTCTCCCAGAGAGCTGGCTTCAGGATGCTGCTGGTTCGCACCTTGCAGCGAGACCCGTGGCTTGAAGCAGCCGTGTCTCCAATTTGGAAAAGCCTCTTTTCCCCGGCTGCAGAGCCTGCCCCCTTTCCTGCCCTGCGTGCAGACGGAGCGGATTAGCCAGCGGAGCAGCCTTGACATGCATCCAGCTTGGCCACAGGGCCGGAGTCAGGAGCACCTCAGGAAGAAGATTTGAGAGCAAAGAGCAGCAGCCAGAGGAGAGAGGTGAGGTGATTGGAAAAGCGCCTGCTGCCACGGCCACTGTCCCTGCCCTGTGGGGTGCCGCAGCCCCCCTTTACAGCCTCACCGCAGCAGTCCTGCCGGGGCTCTCTGTCCCCGTGCTTCTCGGGGCTCAGCCTTAGAGTTTGCAGCTAGACGGCTGCACAGGAGCCCGTCTCCCCTTCGCAGGCTGGGCAGAAGGGGCTGGATGCAGGCGCTGGGTTTCGGGGGCTGCCGGGGCAGCCAGCAGACCAGGGGAGCTGCAGGAGAGGAGCGGAAGGGGGAGCAGGGCACGGATACCCCCTCACCGCCCGTGCCCCAGGCGAGCCGTCCTGCCCTGCGAGCTGCACCAGGTCCTGTCCCCATTTCTCTGCCACGGCAAGGTCAGGGTGCAGCGACCGGCCTTGTCCCCCCAGGAGGGTCCGAGAGCTTGACCCGGTCATTCCCAGCTGGAGAATCCTGGCGTGAACACCACTGGGAAAGGGGGGGAGCATCTGCATTCCCCTGCAGCCCCCCGGGGCTGGCCCTGGCAGATCCCAGCCCTCGCCGCTGTAGCGCGTCCTGCTGGGAATGAAATCTGATGAGCGCAGCCATAAATTTCTCGGCGGATGTGGCGCTGAGCCCTGCATGCTGATGCTGCATTCAGCCCTTTGCAGAGCGGCATCAATTCTGCAGCGGGAAAGCCTCGTTTAAGCGGCGAGGAGCAGGGCTTGCCTGGAGTCCTGAGCGCCGGGCACAGTCAGGCTAGGCACACTAGAGAGGGGTCATTGGCCCTTGCGGAGCAGGGACAAGGGATGGTGCCAGGGCTGGGGCTGCTCCTCTCTTGTCCCCTGTCACCTCTGCGCAGGGAAACCCCGGTCCGGGCTGGCCGCAGCGTGGTCTGTGCGTGGATGTGCCTGAAAGGCAGCCCCGGGCCCCAGGGCGAGCGCTGTGCGGCGTGCGGGGTGGAATGGGGAGAGCGACTCAGCCCTTTCTAACCCGTCCGCCTCTCTGCTCTCGCTCTCTGTGTTTGTGGCAGGGGCCACGGCATTGGGCATGGAGGTCATGGCTCCCACCACCATCAGTGCCTTGAACGGCTCCTCCGTGAAGCTCTCCTGCACCTTCAACTCCTGCTACAAGGTGGAGAACAAGCAGTTTTCCCTCAACTGGACGTACCAGGAGTGCGGGAACTGCTCTGAGGAGCTGGTGAGTCTCGCCAGGGCTGGGGATCTGCTGAGAGGGCGTGGGACCAGCTTGAAGCAGTCACGTGCGTTCCGTGGGCTCCTGAGCCGTCTCCTTACGTGGGCTCCTGCTAGCCAGCCCTCCTCCACCACAGGGAAAATTAGCAACCGACTGCGTAAAGGCCCAGCAGTCAGCGCAGCCGCCCCGATGCGGCAGGACAGGCAGGCGTGAGCGGGGAGACCCAGTGCCTGGCCACTGTGGCGGCCAGAGCTGAGCGGGGACCGTGCTGCTCGTGGAGCTGAGCGAGCGCTGCCCGGCTGGCGAGCGAGCGTGCAGCGTGGGCGCGCGCCCGGGGCAGCTTGTGCAGGGGAGTGGGATGCTTGGGAAGCACACGGGGTGCCAAACACTCTCTCACCTCCTCTCCCACACGGGCTGCCCAGTTCCTGCAGTTCCGGATGAAGATCATGAACAAGCAGCTGGACCGCTTTGGGAACCGGGTGGAGTTCACCGGGAACCCCACCAAGTACGATGTGTCCTTCACCCTCAAAAACGTGCAGCTGGAGGACGAGGGCACCTACAATTGCTATGTCCTGAACCCCCCGGACCGGCACCGGGGCCATGCCAGCATCAGCCTGAAGGTGCTCACAAAAGGTAAGGGGAAGAGTGGTCCCCTCTGCTGTCGGGCACCCATGGGTGCTAGGCTGGCTCTGCCTCATGCCCTGCCTCCTGTGATTCTGTTCTGTCATTCACCCTGCACCGCGTATGCAGGGTTTGCTCCCCGGCGGTGGGAGCGAGCCCTGCCTCTTCCCTGGTGCTGCCGCTGGTAGCCCCAGCTGGGGGCTGCGTGCCCTGAGCCTGCGCCCTCTCTCCCCAGAGCCCCCGAAGCACGATTCGACAGTGGCTGTCATCGTGGGCGCCTCTGTAGGTGGCTTCTTGGCCGTGGTGATCCTGGTGCTGATGGTGGTGAAATGCGTGCGCCGGAAAAAGCAGCAGAGGCTGAACACGGACGACCAGAAGACAGAGGAGGAGGGGAAGACGGACGGCGAAGGCAACCCGGACGAGGGCACCAAGTAACGCCCCCCTGCCCGCCCCTCCCTCTTCACCCCTGTACAGTGTGACCCCCTTGATGTGCTTCCCAGAGCAAGGATTTCTGTCTCCCCAGAGCATCCCTCCTTCCATCTAAATACCCACCCCAGCCTGGAGCAGGGCGCGGAGAGAAGGTCCCCGGAGCCTGGCCGCAGCGGGCAGGGCTGGGGAGGGTGGCCGGAGCGCATCGAGGCCGCCCCCGAGGCTGAGCTGGGACCGGCTTGTCCCCTGCTCTGAGTGCCGGAGCACGGCGTGGGGCCGTGGGGAGGCGCTGGGGATGAGGGGAGGGGCAGAGGGGGCCGGGCAGCCCCCTGCCCAGCTGTCTGCACCCCAGCCCTCTAGGAAAAGAGAGCGGGGGCCAGCGGCCAGCAGCTGCCTGCCCTCGGGGCCACGTCTCGCCCCCGAGGCACCCCTGCTGTGCCTGGGGCACCCGCACTGGCGTACCCATCCCCGAGGGATCCCCGATAGCTGCCCGTCTCCTCCTTGCAAGTCCTGTGTGCCAGCGCTGAGGGTGCTGCGACAAGAAGCTCGTGCTCCTTGGGGACTGTCCCAGCCTGCGCGGAAGCCGATGGCTGGGTAATGACCATTAGCCCACGCGCTGCCTCTGAGCTCTGCAGGTTTTTGGAGCCGCTAATGGCTCCTTGCGCGCAACCGATGTACCCTTCTGCCTCTCGGGCTATTTTTGGGCCTGAGCATCTCAGCCAAAGGTGCTGGGCTGACTTTCTTGTGCTCGTTTCCTTCTTGGGGAGGGTAATTCTAATGGAGAATGTTCTGCTGATGTGCCAAACTGAGACGGTGGGGAGCGGCGGGGTACGGCTGCGAGGGACGAAGAGCTGCTGGGAGGAAGAGGAGGTTTTGGGCGCTTGCTGGGAAGGACTGGGCACAACCGTGGGGCCAGAGGCAGGACAGCTCTGGAACCCCGGAGCAACCCAGTGATGCTGAAACCGCCTCCTCCCG